GTGGATGTTTCCCACGGACGCGCCGTCATTGCACCAGTCTATAGGTGGATGTTTCCCACGGACGCGCCGTCATTGCACCAGTCTATAGGTGGACACTCAGGTTCTTTCCACCGTGATGAAGACACAGCACTCCAAGCGTGTGAGCATATGGGCAGGAAGGAATGCTCGGTGGTGAAATTGCTGGGTCAGAGGGTTTGTGACTCTATAATTTGGTAAATCCTCCTCAATTTGGTTTTACCCAATTTCCACATTGATTGTTCATGTCGAGTGAAACAGATGAACACTACATGGTATGTGTTCTACGTTGAGCCAGAATGGCCACATGGTGCTCTCCATCTGTGTAAGCTGTCCGACAGAAGACATGCAGGAATTAGCACGGAGCTTTCTCTCTGTGTGTGTGTGTGTGTGTGTGTGTGTTTAACATGAATCCACTTTCTGCTTCTATTACTGTCTTTTCTGTACCTTTCTCAAAATCTCAAAAGAGAAAAAAAAGAATTAGTGACAGTTATCACTATCCGCGTACTGTACACATGAACTCTGCTAAGGACTCTCACCCCCAGAAGGGAAGAGAAGAGAAAGTGTGGTGATGGCTGTGCCAATTAGCTTGGCCATGCTGGTCATTCACGGGGGACGCACATATCAAATCACCTTCGACATGGACAATTTTTATTTGTCAACTCTACCTTGATAAAGGCTGAAGAAAATTCCTAATACCTAAAAATAAATAATAAATAAGAACTGTTGAGACCGTTTCCAGACAGCTCTCTGGCTGGCCAACTACCATCTCTTCCTAGATGACAGTTGAATGCAGATAGTTGGAAGGAAAAAAGAATCTGTAAAATTATCCACAAACCAAGAATGAAATGTCCACCTTCCTCTCTACCATATCACAGTGGAAGTTTTCTTTTTAATCATGAAAGTATATTTAGTTTCAATTACTTTCAAAAAATTAATAGACTTTATTTTTTAGAGCAGTTTTAGATTCATAGAAAGTTGACCTGATAGTGTAGAGAGTTCCCTACACCCTTCCCCTGCACTCAGCAGCCGGTTGAATGCGTTATTATTGACTGAAGTCCTCTGCTAAGATTATGTTGGAATCTCCTCCTTCTGCCGTACGGTTCTGTGGGTTTTGACAAGCATGTAATGCTGTGTCACCTACAACAGTTCCACTGCCCTCAAACATCTTGGGCAGTGCTTCTTTCTTTGTCCCGCTGGCCCTTGGTTGTTAGGGATCTTTTTTCTGCCTCCCTAGCTTTACCCTTTTCAGAATGTCCTAAAGTTGGGATCACGGAGTACGCAGCTTCCTTCACTTACCGATGTGTGTTTCAGGTCCCTCTCTATCTTCTCACAGCTTGAGAGCACTGTTTCTCTGTGGCCCTGAATCATACCCCATTGTCTGGATGTGGCATGGTTTGTTTATCCATCCGTGTAACCTGTGGCCAGCTCATGCGTGGCACTCACATCACTCATGGCTGAAGCATTAGAAAACTACCCAGCTAGGTCAGTCATTCTGCAGAGGAACGAGCCCACAGGTGTCAGACTGGCCTGCGAGTCAGGCCGCGGGCAGGAGGGGAGGAGTGAGGCGGAAGCTCAGCCACATCCTCATTTTATACCCCAAGCCCAGGTGTCACCCCACATCACCGGGCACTGTTGACCTGCTCTTCTGCTTTAGAAGAGTAAGTTGTATGAGCACGTCGCCTCTGTAAGATCGTCCCTGTTAATTCACAGAGCTTCAAGGCAGTGCCTGTGGCTCAAAGGAGTAGGGCACCAGACCCATATGCTGGAGGTGATGGGTTCAAACCCAGCTCTGCCAAGAACTGCAAAAAAAAAAAAAAAATTCACAGAGCTCTGGTTAGCAGACTGTGCAGCACTCTTTCTATGACTATGCCACACTTGGGGTGCGCTCTGCCCACTGAGGAGTCCTTGCATCTCTGGCTTGTGGTTAGCTCCAGGGAGACAGAGAAGAGAACTGAATACAGAGGAGCTTCAACTGTGTTTCTAAGTTTTGTTTCTTTGAACAAAAGAGCTGAGGTCATTTTGGCAAAACACAGATTGACTTAGAGGCATTAGAGTCCCCAGAATCCCAGGGGACTCGGCATGTGTCTGGGTGGCCTGCCCAGGTCCAGGATTTGGACAAGAGAGGGTCAACTTGTTGCTCAAAGTGGTTGTTTAAAGAACACTTTTTAAAATAAACCTTTTATCTTATTTGGCTTTTAAAAGCAGCTTTATTGAGATCTAATTCCCATACTGTCAAATTTATCCTGTCAAAGCATAGCTATGTACTACCATCCCTGCAGAAAATTCTAGACCATTTTCATCATCTCATAGAGAAACACCACACCCTTGAGCTCTTACCCCCTGTTGCCCCACCACCCCAGTCCTGAGTGACGCTGGTCTTTCTGTCCATGGATTTCCTGCTCTGGATACTTCCTGTAGGTGTGGGGTGGGGGGAGGTCATGCTAGGTGGGCCTTTGTGGCTGGCTTCTGTCGCTTGGAGTGCTGTAGCATGGTCAGAACTTCCCTCCCATTTAGACTGGATAATATTCCATCGTGCGTCTTGGATCTGACATTTTGCTCATTGGTCTATTGGTGGACAGTGATTGGGCTGTTTCCACTTCATGGTTCTTGTGAATAGTGTTACACTGAACATTTGTGCAAGTTTTTGTCTGAACACCTGCTTTCAATTTTTTGTGTAAAGAGTACCTTATAGTGGGGAAGGAACAGTATGGTGGCCTCCCTTTTTGTGCGGTCAGTGATTTGAAATTCCCGTTGCCCCTGTGTACAGAGCGTGGTCCCCTGGGGATGTGTAGGGTCGGCAGGCAGTTAGGACGATACGGGAAGGGACAACAGGGTGACATTCATGGAGAATCTTCCTTCTGTGCAGTTCGCCTCTATGGACCAAACTTCATCCTTCAAGTGTACTCTTCTCAGAGGAAGTCCTGGCACCCCGTGTGCGAAGATGACTGGAGTGAGAGCTACGGGCGGGTGGCGTGCAAGGACCTGGGCTACAAGTGAGTACTGGTGGCCCTCACAGCAGAGACGTGAGAAAGAGGCTCTGTTGCCGGGGTAGCAGTCTCATCATAGCTCACAGCAACCTCAGATTCCTGGGCTAAAGTAATCCTTCTGCCTCAGTCTCTGGAGTAGCTGGGACTGCAGGGGCACACAGCTATGCTTGGCTGATTTTTCTACTTTTTGTAGAGGTGGGGTCTCTCTCTGGCTTAGGCTGGTCTTGAAATCCTGGCTCAAGTGGTCCTCCCACCTCGGCCTCCCAGAGTGCTGGGATTACAGGCGTGAGCCGTGGACCTCTGCCGGCCCATGGCTCTCTTTGTGAAGTGCCTCTCAGCCAAGGCTGAACCCTCTGCAGCACTGGGGA